CACCTTCGTATTCTCTAGCTGTTGTAGCATGGGCAGTGCGGCAAGAAAGCAGACACGGTGGATTCGGGTGGTTGTGTTCTTGAAGAAGCGAGTGTGGGCACGAACAATCACCAAGTACTGACAAAGAGCTTTATTCAACAACTCTCTATAGTCAACCTCGGGAAATATGAAAATATCCGTAAGGCATGTCGAGCTATATCCTTCTTTATTAGTAGCACAGGGTTGTGGCTCGGAATGTGAACCCTCCAACTCGATTGTGGGAGGGGAATCTTGAAAAATGTAAATTCAGGGACATCTCGATCAGGCTCAAGAATCTCCTCCACCAAAGTGTCACTCTCGATATGAGGAGCCACAACTTTTTCGTCGTCAAGCTCGCTCATACGCATCGACTTACATGTTCGGGCACCATGCGTAGGATGTGGATAATGGATAAAGGCCTCATTAGCTTGTGATTGTATAAGGTCGATGCGTGTTGTTAGGCTCTCCACTTGTGCGCTCAACCGAGCACATCCGAGCTCAATCTCTTCATCCCGATTAGCTTGGGCCATCACCCGAGCAAGGGTAAGATCAAGTTTAGCATTGTATCCCGAAGAGTCATCCTCGAGCTTAGCGAAAGGCATGGGCTCCGGATGTGGGTCCACAACTATGGGCTTGTTGGCTTGGGACTCGATAGAGTCGATGCGCCTTGCTAGACTTTCTAATTGCTCGCTCAAACGGGCACATCTGAGCTCCACCTCCTCTTCTCGGTTTTCTTGGGCCATCATCCGTTTGAAGATTAGATCAAGTTTCTCGTTGAATGCGGCCTCTTCTTCTCGAGCTGCTATAAAGGTAAGAATCCGGTCGAGCTTGTCATTATGCTTTGAGGATCGCTCCTGGAATTCATAGGTTTGTTCAACCGGTGCCAAATTCCATTGCTGCTGGTAAGAGTACGAAGATGGTTGGTTGTAGTGCTCGGAGTGATAGCTCGGTCCGTTATTCCAAGATTGAATGTGTGGGAAGGGAAACACACGGTTTGGGTACATTGCGCTTCCTCAGTCAAATCTCTGCATGCAAGAACCAAAACAACCACGCATATCCACGAAAAGTAAGAAAAAAGAAGACAAAAGCAAAAACAAAGAGAAAAGAACTAAAACACAAAATAAAGAGAAACACAGAAAATAAAATCAACACCAAAACTAAATATCCTACTTGCCTTCCCCGGCAACAGCGCCAATTTTGTTGTAGCAAATTATATTTTTTTACCGAGTACCGAATCGAAAGATTCGTTTCCCGGGTCGATCTCTCGAGGAAGGCGGTTCGGAATCTAGGGATAGTGTTGATAACACATAATAGAAAAATAAATCCTAAACACTCTAATCAAGATATTGGTTTTTAATTATCAACTACGAAAGAGAATTCAAACAATGCAAAATCGAACTTAAAAGCAAAGATGAAGATCAAAGGATAAGAAGCTAAGGAGTCGGAGATAATGATTTTCTAACCAATGCAAATATCAAACTAAGATCATTCGGTTAAATGATTCGAGCAACCTAACGTCTAAAGATAGTACTCAATAACTCTTCGTAACAAGAGGATAACATAGACGGTAAATCAAACAAATCATGCAACACATAGACAATACGTTTCTGAACAAGTCTATTTCATGCGAGCCTATATCGATCAACTCCTCCCCTTTCGGTTCTAAGAGTTGATTAAATTATCCTAGACGATTGCTAATCTACTAGTTCAATGGATTTAAACACATCACACAGGAACGAATCATATTCAATTGGAGATCAATTGCAAATCGAAGTGTCACTCTTCGACAATAATCAACAATCAATGTACGAGAATTATAAACCCTAGTTAAGAACAACTGGCATAACTTGAGCGATCAACAAGCATGATAATCACAATTAAATTATAAACATCATCATCATCCTCTATCCCTAGCGAAACGATTTAACCACTCATATGGAATTCAAAATCAACAATCTCAACAATCAAAGCCATCATATTCATGAATTAGATGAAAAGAGAAACTTACGATTAATAGAAATCCAATATTCGAATCCAATGACAAAGCTAAATCCGGAAAAATAAAAAGAGAATTGAGCAAAAAGAACGATCTAAATCTGAGTTTTTAGAGAAGGAGAAAGTGAAAAAAGAATATTGGGGATTGTTCCCACGAGTCTAAGGATCGTTTTGATATATAGTGCGCAAAAAACGGAGCTAAAACGAGTAAAAACGAGCAAAAATAATAACAGGGTCGGCCTAGCCGCGACTCGCGAGTCGCGAGTCGCCTGGGTCGCTGGGGCTGTGCGCCTCTGTTTTTTTCGCGAGGCGCAGATGCTGGGCGCTGGGGGCGCGCGCTGGGAGTGGGGCTAGTCGCGGGTCGCGGGCACGGTCGTGTCTCGCGACTTGGACTGCACTGCGCCTCTTCACGTTTTGGCCTCGTTTGAGCTTGTTCGAACTCGGAATTGAGCGCCGTTTTTTCCTACGCGTCGCCAACGAACCCCTCTATTCAACTATGCTCTTAAAACTAATTTTTTCTGAAGAGAAAATTCTCGCGAAGCTCCCGACCTATACACAAAAAAAACGACAAAACACAAAAGAAAACCGGAAAAACAAACGAAAAACACCTAAAGACTCAAAATGAAGGAAAACACATAATAAAACACGAAACAGACTAAAAATTAAAGAAACGACCTAAAACGGGAGAAAAAGAAAGATAAAATAAACACGAAAAACGCAACAATAATGGGACAAACAACGCGAAAAATATAATAAATTTTATTTTTAAATTTTTTAATAGAATTTACAAATATATAATTTAAATATAATTTTGATTACTTTTCTAAAATGTAATAAAACTAGTATATAAGCAAATAGGAATTTAAAAGTGGAGTAATAAAAAAAAAAGAAAATTGAAAAATGTACTCAGATATTATTTATTAATTTTATTATATATTTATATTATTAATAAAAAATAATATTTAAATTACATATTTTTTAGATTCACTTGTCAATTTTTTAATATAATCTTTATTAAACTTTTGCATAATGTAGTTTATATAGATTCATTTTCTTATTAAGGTAATATTACTAAAGATATTTATTATTTTTTATTATAAGTATGTAAAAAATAAAATAACTAGCATGTGGCCAACATTTAACTAGTTGTGGGTTGAGCCTGAATTGTCGGGCAACCATTTTATTTTTATTTTTATTAGAAGAACAACTGACATGTGTAATACATGTACCTAATCACAAATTTGGTCTGGAACCCATGGTCAACGGGTTTTGATAAGTCGAATCGGTTGTGGTACGTAAAAGTCTTCCAACTGGTTGGATTCAGCCTAATTTTAAGCTCCTCATCGGTTGGTTGCCTTGAGAAGTGCAAAAACTCTCACACTGGAAGGGTTTTCAGGTGAAAGTCTCTTATGCTTAAGTTAACACTGAGAAGAAGATGAAATATTATGTGTATGTAGAGTAATAGAGAATGTAATGTAATGTTGGGCATATTTCACTCATTTACATAGGGAGATGATATCTTGTTGCCAAGTTTGCCCGGGTGTGCTGCCCAGACTCCCCGTTCGTATTGCTCGAGCTACCCGACCTAACTAAGCTGCCCAATTTTGTTAGGTCAAGTGGTACTATCTATGTGGGGGTTTAATCCCAATAATATTCCTTCGTATCATTTAATTTTACTTATTAGACGATCTAACCATTCGACCTTCCCCGATTACCTAGAGGTAGAGTACTGTCGATATCAAGCTTTAATGCTCTGTTGGTCTGGTCGATCATTGATCAGATGTACCTTCAGGTTGAACTTTAATCAGGTCGTGCAAGGACCCTCATTCGACATGACGGTGTCTCCGTATCCTTGACGTGTTCTTCGACCTAGGATCCATCGATCTGTGAAGTCTTCAATCACACTCGATCTGATAGTTCATCCTGTCAGGTTATGCTGCTTCCCGAGTCTAGTCAGCTTTGTACAGTTATCCCATATCAGGTTGGTTCGACAGCCCAACCCTATACAATGGTCATGTCTAGACGAGTTTGTGTCTAATTCAAAACCAACATACCTCTAACTGTTATTTTTAGAACTCCGAAAGTCATATCATAATATTGTCGTTGAAAGACCAACTTGGAATCTTTGAATGGTCTAAAGTTTTTTTTTTTNAATTAAAGATGATGAAGGGAAGGGGTAAAAGCAAAACAAGCATTAGGTTAGAACTCTAATAATAAAAAAGAGTTTTTTTCAAGATAAGGTAAACTATCAAATCGGGGCCTAAAAGATTTTTTTTTTCTCAATTTGGGACCTAAATGTTCTAAAACTATCAATATGAGTCTTAAAATTAACAGAACACCATTAAATTTAGAATTTAAAAGGGAAAGAAAAAAAGAGAATGATGCTTTCACCCTGTGATTAGGGGTGCACAAAATATGGTTAACCTGCCGAATTCCAGTATTCGGTTTTGACCGAAACAGAAACCAAAAATTTGGTTCGATTTTTGATTTATTTTTTTTTAAATATTTTGGATTTCGGTTCGGTTTGTATATAATCTATCGGTTAACCGAACCGAACCGAACCGAAAACTAATATCTATATATATTGAAAAAGAGAGGTCAATAAATCATTTGTGGAAACTTTTAAAAAATTGGTCAACAATACCATTGACTTCCCATTTGTGGAAACCAATTAAAAAAATTCAAATATTATTTATTTTTTGATTTTCTTCTTATTTTAAATCATTTCAAAACAGAATCAGGCAAAAAACAGAATAATGGAATCATTCCAGTATAAACAATTTGGCCTGATTTTCTTTCCAATTATTCAGGAAAGGATTTTCTCAACTATGAAATCATAGGAATCCCAATTTTTTAGGTAACAAATTTAGAGATTTTTTTGAATATATTCCAACTTATCTTAACATCTATATAATTACAACAAAACGCTCAGTATCTTTTAAAAAAAAAGCACGCCTTTTCTCTTCCTTTGCTCTCGGCTGCCATTGATGGCGTCCACGGCCCTCCCGACCGGGACCCGCCAGCGCACCGCCGAGGAGCTCAATCGAAAAAAGCTCGACGGTGGATTCAGATCTAACGGCGTGGGGATCAGGTACGAGCAACCTCGCCGCCATGAAATCTTCAATCGCGAGGGCAGTCGGGAATTTGGTCCGTCTAGGGCTGACCAGGCCTACAATTGGGCGACCAGTAAGAAGTCGTGTCCGTCTAGATTCGGCGAGCGTATGGAGAAGGGAGAAAGAGGGGCTTCCTACTGATTCGTGCCCAGTGCTTCTCTTTTCAGATTCCCCGATTCCATGTAAAAAGCTTGAATCTTTTTCTTATTTACTGATTTTTAAGGATTGTTTTGCTAAATTTTGTTTGATGCTTATAATGGTCAGCTTGAATATTTTTCGTTTAATCTTGAAAAAAAAAGGATTGGATTTTGATATTATTGCTTCGCTCAATCCATATTGGTTTCGCTCAATCCATATTGGTTCCAGGTCATATTTGGAAGGCATTCCATGTTCATATCTCGAAGGCGTTCCAGGTTCATATCTTGAAGGTTCAATCGCGAAGAATTCTTAAATTTAGTTTCATGTTTTCTATTCCAATTTCAAGTTGTTTTTGAATCTTATAGTATTTGTGTTCCGAAATTGTTGGAATGATTTTTTAGCCTTTTTTTTTTGTTTCGTCTAAGGATCCTAATTGTTGTTACCTTAGTACTATTTAGATGATTAATTGTGCAACTTTGTTTTAAAGCTATTTAGTTCTCAAAGTCCTGGCTTTAATCATTTTCTAATTAATTTACTGGGTTTTGAATTTGGCTAACCTCACGCTTTACCTTACTATTGTGAAAAAACTTATTTGGAATTGATTTTCATTGCTTTTTGTTTTTGAAACTGCCTTTTTGTTTTCGTTTTTTTTTTTTNTTTGTCTTCAGCTGCATCGAGCAGGTAATCTATTCGATTATATTAATTACCACTGCATCAAACGTTGTTCAAAACGATTTCTTTCTCAATTTAATTGATTGATCAACTATCTAATTGGTTGTTTATGCAGTCGCTTTAGACGGTCCATTACAGCCGACCAACAAGCATCAAGGATTTAATGACCCTTGAGCTAACGAGCACAGACTGGTTCGGGCTTTTCGAGGTTTTTGCGGTTCTTTCCAATTGAGTTGTAATGTAGTCGATGCCAAGGTTTGGACATCGGGCTCACCAATCGAGGACGAGCAGAAGTTGGACAAAATCGGGGTCATTTTGAGGAACGTGCTGAAAGCGGACAAAGACATTCGGAGCGCAAGAACCTCGGTTTCTTTGGCCGAGATGCATACTGAGATGAGGCTCCACCAACTGATGTTTGTTGACCAAGACTATGAGAGGAGGGTTGTGGCTAGGCCTGGTTCGGGCCCGAGTGTATATGTTACGAATCATTTGGAGAAAGATTACTCGGTCGTGATTATTCAGTGCCGAGACTGGATTAAGCTGTAGATTTATGTTGTCTAAACGTTGACCGATATAGAGTATGTTGTTTTTCACGCCACGGTCGACACATCTGAGGATGCGGCGTCTGGTATTTTTATAGTTTTTTTATTCTTTACAATTTGAATTCTGTTTATTTATTCATTTATTTGGGCCAATTAATGGTTTGGTTATTTGAAATCAGGAGTTTTCATTAGACATGTGGACGGGACATCGATTAGCTCCGAGCGCGTATTTTTTTGTCTACAGGCCGCCATCGAGAGAAGGCATCTAAGGTGTTGTATGAAAAGGAAAACAAATAATCTATTATTTTTAGCAAGAATTTTTCTGGTTTAGTTAAATTAACCTTTTCTGCCTTTTATTTTTTAAAATCATATAGGGTGTGACTTGTGAGGCTCCAGCTGTGTGCGGACGATATAATAGATTTGTTGGCAGACATGATGCGGAATTTTCCTGAAAATGGCTAAACATCGATCGGGTCGAGATATCGACAGCCCGAAATGTATTCTATGTACCAAATGCAGTTGGAATCCTGGCCGACTGGGAGATCATAGTCTCGGTAAGGGAAAAGATTTGTTTGGTGAATCTAAAAATTACAGCATTTCCTTTCTCGTGTGGGCGGAAGATCGAGAGGGAGGGCCCACGCATGTTGATATCGCTCGGAGCATGGTGGGGATGAGTCTGGATTACTTTGGGCTGATTAAGTCTTAAGCCGAAAGAATTTGAAGACACTTTATAACAAAAATGTGTGCTGGGAGGGCATGGCAATTGGCATATTCTTTTTTCAATGGTGATAGACATTTTGTACATAGATTTACAAAACAAAGAGCTGGTGAAGTTAGTTTGGATTGTAAATATGAACAAACAACATAAATGTGGGATTGATGTGGGGGACTCCTCCCCTATTTTCCTTTTTTTTTTTTAAAAAAAAAACTTGATTTGTGGAGGGAAGGAAAAAATTGAAAATGGTAGATAGATTGGTGGGTGGGGTCTGTTGGCATAAATAGATGAAAATTGAAGTTAATCGTAATTGTGTAAATAGAGTTTTATTTTATCCTAATTTTTGTTGCCCTATTTAGAAGATTAAGTGTGCTACTTTGTTTTAGAGTTAGTTTAGTTCTCAAAGTCCTGGGAGCTCATAAATTTTTGAATAAAAGAATAACGTGAAGCATAGAAGTTTTTTCGACTTTAAATGTCTGGTATAATCCAAAAATTGTTGTTGTTTATATTATTTCAAGTAATTTGATGGTTGATTTTCAAGTAGAAATATTGATATTTGAGACTGTCTGACTACCAATGGTTATTCTTTCCCCATCTTTTATATATAACTAAGAATCCCAGTTTTATAATAATATCTGCTGAGTAAAATGAAATAGTTTTTTTTTTCTTCGTTTTTTTGACAGGTATGGAGTTGTAATATATCCCTGGAATACCATGGTACATTGTGTAGAAAGAATTGAGCATTTTTGTGCTTAAGTGTTGTGAGTTTGATAGGCAATCAATGGGCCTTGAGCAGGCATCGAGCATTTTTGTGCTTTAGTGCTTAAGTGTTGTGAGCTTGATAGGCAATCAAGGGGCCTTGAGGATCCCAAAAATTCTTGCACCAGAGACCATGTGTATGAAATAATTTGAAATGAAATCTTATTCTAAAAGGCTACTAATTTTTCCATCTTAGGCCAAATTGTAGGAAAGAGAGCCGGTAAATGTTGTAACGGCATGAATATGATCTCTTTCGGGTTTTATTGAAAACATTTAATGCCTTAATATATTAGAACATACGCTTGGATTATGTATTTGTTTAACAAATACCCCACTTGCAATTTGTAAAACTGAAATAAGCATGATGGAGTGTCTTCAATCTTAAAAAAATAATTGGGCTATGAAAATGGATTTCGTTGTTTTTAGAATCTCCATCAATTTATAGGGGTATGGCCAGGCGCTGCCTCCGAGGTATAGATACCAGTTACAGGGGGCGTACGGGTAGCCTCAGAAACCTAAGAAGAATAAGGCAGGGATGGTAATGTTAAAAATTTTCGTTATCCATAAGTGTTGGCTCCTCATTTCCACTTGATGTTACGATTGATATTTAGGAAATCAATTGCAGACGAAAATATTTTTTTTTTTTTTCAGTGAATGAAAATACCAACTTCTCATCACCTAAATATTTTTTCTTTCGAAAGTCATGACAATTCCTTTTTAAAGTTTGGATTCTTACCGTTATTTTTTAACTTTAACGATCATATTGATTAATTGATTTTAAAAAATAAATAAATCAAAACTACAAGGTTTAATAATATTTCTAATAAAAAATATTGTGTGAAAATAAGTGTAATAATATATGATTATTCATTGTTTGTCTTTATTTTATTTCCATAATAAGATGAGGTGTGAAAAATATAAACAATTATATTTTATTTCCATTGAATTTGCATGAACATTCGTCGTGTAATATCAACCAACGAGCCCTCTTGCGGAATTCATAATATGTTGTTCTCTTATAATATGGGATGAAGCTCCAATGATGCACAAGCATTGCTTCCAGGCCGTGGAAGAATTGATTAAGCTGTAATGGGAGCAACTGATCCATCGAACAAGACCAAACCGTTTGGAGGCAAAACATTTGTCTTTGGTGGGGATTTCCGACAGATCCTTCTGGCTATTCCAAAGGGTAGTCACCAGGATATTGTTATGCCATGACTATTTTCGATTATGGTTTCTTATGCCATGACTATCAACAAGAGCCAAGGACAGACGTTATCGCGAGTTGGTTTATTTCTTAAGAAACCGATGTTCAGTCATGGTCAATTATATGTTGCCGCCTCCCGCATCACCAATCGAAGTGGATTGAAAATATTAGTCTGTAATGACGATGACGTTCCACTAAATCAGACCCAAAATGTTGTGTACAAAGAAGTGTTTACTAATTTGTGAAGTTTTTTCTATTTTACATTTGTTAAATATTTACAAAGTGCATTAAATATGTTAATATTCAAAAGTTTCAGAAAAATATACCATCCCGTACATCGCACGGGTCAGTACTAGTTATACATATATATGTTATAAAAAGCCCAATATAATGAATTAATGATACCCAAGTCCCACACCAAAACCCAAGGCCACCCACGGCCCAAATGGCAAATGCAATCCCACCCAGCCCACAGTTACTCTTCTCATATGTTAATTGCGCAATTGTGACATCCCCCATAGGATTAGGCCCATATGATACTATTACTTGCTCAGTCTGACAGACATCTCCCACTCCTACTTCGAAGACGCTACAAACCATAAACCCTACCTCCGCGACTCCACCCATCCGCCGCTCGCCCCGCTCCCGTGCACCACACACTCCACTCACTCGGTAGGCCGGCACTCGACGGCGACCTCGTCCCTGAGTATGTGTTCGAAGAAGAAATTAGTATTTGTGGGTTCTTTATTGATGTCTTGTTCATAACGCCTGCTCTTGCAATTGCCCAAGATTTGCTTTTCCCTGGTATTAAAGTTTTTTCAGCTCAATTGAAGAGAGATAGTATAAAATTCAAGTGGGTTCTTTTTTTTTTTTTGTCGAAAGATTGAAACTTTAGCTAAATATAAGCTGACCCATCTGAATATTTTGGGGTTTTCACGCTAGATGGATGCAGGAAGTTGTGGTTTTGAGTCAAAGATGAAGGCTTATGAAGTAATAGAAAACAATCGAAGGGTGNGGGCTTGTTTTTGGAGCTTAGAAAATTTAATTTTAAAACTGAACTCATGGTTTTATTAAAGAAGAAAAAGAGCTTTGGAGACCATTTGAAAGAAAATCATTGTGCTCTCTATTAAAGCTATTGAAAGATCTTGACGTCAAATAACTTTTAGAAATATGTCTCCTCTGCTATGACCAAGTTATGGTTTAATCTTTATTTGAACTTTGAAATAGCTTTTGGATTTATGAAATTTGGATGCAGCTTTTGTGATTGTCTCTGTCACCTCTGGCAGGTACGCTCTGAGGAAATTCGCCTCTCGAAGTACAGAGAAGTTCAAGAACAAATCGTACTTACTGACAATACGGCTCCACAACCCTACAGTACGCGACCTTCTCTTGAGGACTGAACACAAAAAAAAGATGCTGTCCATTTGGTTTTGACTTGAGGGACTCAAACGATGATGGGGATTCCCATATTTAGATTCCACTATTTGGGGTGAAGCTCTCTAAATAGCCCGGAGTAGAAGTTCCTAAAGCCAGACTTGAGCGGTAAGTTCACGATCTTGATCTATACCTCAGTGTGCGATCTTGATCTATACCTCAGTGTGCTTTGTTGTTTAGTTTGTCGGTGCATAATTGATTTGTTAGGGTTTTAACACGCCATGGATTGATTGTTAATGTGATTTTTCTCTGCAAATTTGTCAACAATTTTGATTGAAAGTATAAATATCAATTGGAACTGCTCTGAAACATTTTTGTGTGAAATTGAACCTTCGATGCATGCGAATACAACTGGAAACATGTTGTTGTTCTCTCTGATCTTATTTTGTATTCTTTTCATTGTACAATACATGATTTTGTTTTTTATATTTTTGAAACTTTTCGGGAACAGAATTGGTACTTTCGGAGGTTTTGAATTTTGAATGTCATTGCTTTCCTGGCCATGTGGCGGACTTTAGAGAAGGTAATCATATCGGGTTCACATCAACTTTGTGGCTGAGTGATATAACCTTGATGCCTCTGATAGACCTGTCAATTTGTTCGCCGAATTGTATATCACATTCACCTACAATAAACATATTAAATGCGCTATTCCTACACGATTGGTGCTCTTGAAGCCTGAAGATAATTGTAAATGCTCGTCCACCTCTATTTTTCTTGCTCCTTAGTCGTATTTTTCTTTAACATCCAATATTTAGTACATGCGTATTATCAAGTGATGCTGGTGGTTCTGTATGCTTTGTTGTATGCTTTGTTATCAGGGGTATAAAAATGTAGTTGTGTATATCTTTATTGATTAACTATTGAGTTATTTGATGTCTGATACAGT